ATCTGCAGGGTTCTTGTAGGAGCGTTCATGTAAATAATGTCACCGTAGTCAATGGAGGGAAGGAAAGTCACAGATACAAGGCGTTTTCTAGCATTCAGAGTTAGACAGGATCTGTTTCTGAAAAAGAAACCCAGTTTAACTTTCAGTTTCCTTACAAAATTTTTGACATGAGGCTTAAAAGAGAGATGCAAATCAACCAAGATACCCAAATATTTATAAGAATCGACAAACTCAATAGAGACACCATTCGATGATAAAATAGATGGAAGAACTGCTGGAACCGACTTCCTGTTTGAAAAAAGCATCCCTTTGTTTTTATCGGCATTTAGGACAAGTTTGAGGTGGAACAAATCTGTCTGGATGTAGTTAAATGTGGATTGCAAAAGCTGGAAAACCTGAGCAACTGTTTTAGCTCGACAATAAACAACTGTTTCATCAGCATGGAAATATAAGGATGTGTCAAGGATGCTCTGACCTATATTACCTATGTAGATTGTAAAGAGGGTGGGTTCTAAGACTGAGCCTTGTGGTACACCATTGTTGACTGTTATTTGAAGGAAGTACCATTATGTTGAACACATTGCATCCGATCTGAGAGATAGTTAGAGAACCAACCAATGGTGTGATCTGAGAAACCAATTTCTGAGAGCTTATGACACAAGATGTTTTGATCCACAGTGTCAAAAGTTTTAGACAGGTCTAAGAAAAGTGCAGCACAATAATCCTTAGCATCCAGTGTTTCAACATTGTCATTAAGAACCTTCAGTGAAGCAGTGGTTGTGCTGTGTTGTTTCCTGAAACCAGATTGATGATGAGGTAAGATGTTAAATGAGTCCAGATAATTCTTTACTTGAGTTTGGCTAAAATGCAGAGTTTAGAGATTGGTCGATAGTTGTTCAGTGAGGTGGGGTCACCTCCTTTCAGCACAGGAAGAACAAAGGCTGTTTTCCAAGCGTCTGGAATGGAGTTTTGACTTTTGGACAGGTTAAAGATGTGGGTCACAGGGACTGTGATGATATGAGCGGCCAGCCTTAAGAAATAAGGTGGAAGTTCATCTGGTCCTGCAGATTTTTTAGAGTCTATACCTTTTAACAGTTTATTAACCTCACTAACTGAGAACGGGGAAAGAGAAAAGGTGTGATTTACTGAAGATTGACATCTAGGAGCGATTTGATTTTGTAGATGTTTGGCTTAAAGGAGAAGTAACTGTTTTTCCATTCGTCTTGAGGACGTCTCTCTCATGTCTGCCTTCCCCCTCTGCCAGGTTCAAACGTAACCGCCGCCTTTGAAGCACAGCGCCACGCCGAGCCGCACGGACCTTTGGTGAGCTTCAGAGCGGCATTATCATGAGGTTCAGGATAAGGTTTTACCATTGTGTGTCTGTTAGCAAAATATCTCCTGAACCACTGGACAGATTTGAATGAACTTTGAGGAAATAATCTTTAGATGATCAGCTGGTCAGCTGAGAGATTGTTTTGATCGAACAGACTGGCAGGTTTTCAGAGAAGCTGCTGAAAATGGAGGTTCGCTTGATCTTGACCAATACACATCCTTAGTACTGGGTTACATTAGTACATGTACTGACACAGTCTCCACTATCAGAAATGTTAAAAGCTACCCAAACAGAAAACCTTGGCTGAATGCAGAGGTGCGTACCCTGCTGGAAGCCAGGAACACTGCCTTCAGGTCTGGAAACTCAGAGGAGCTGAGTAGGACAAGAAAAGAGCTGGTTGCTGGTATTAAGAGGGCCAAGGCCGCATATGCAAAGAGGATCGAGGGTCAATTCATCTCACAAGACCCTCGGAGCATGTGGAGGGGCATTAAGTGCATAACAGATTATAAAGGAAGGAGTGAACAATGCCCCAAAGACCCATCTCTGCCTGATGCTCTCAACAAGTTCTATGCACGCTTTGAAGACCCGAACAGACCACCCAGCACCAGACTCACCTCACCACCGGATGAAGAGCATCTCAGCGTGACCTCAGCAGATGTAAGGAGTACCTTCAGGAGGATTAATCCGCACAAAGCAACTGGCCCAGACAACATCCCCGGAAAAGTGTTGAAGGAATGTGCTGATCAGCTCTGTGAGGTGCTGGCAGACATCTTTAACACCTCACTTATCCTGGAGACAGTTCCCACCTGCCTGAAGACTGCCACCATCATCCCAGTCCCAAAAAGCTCTACAGTGACTGGTCTGAATGACTATCGGCCAGTGGCCCTCACCCCGATAGTCGCTAAATGCTTCGAAAAACTGGTCATGCCTCACATCAAAACAACCATCAACATCAACGAGGACCCTCATCAGTATGCATACCGTGAGAACCGATCAACAGAGGATGCAATCTCCTCTGTGGTCCACACTGCACTCAACCACCTGGAGCAGAAAAACTCTTACGTCCGTATGCTCTTTGTGGACTTCACATCCGCCTTCAACACCATGATCCCCCAAACCCTGATGGACAAACTATCCACACTAGGACTAAGCCCCTCCATCTGCAACTGGGTACTAGACTTTTTAACAAACAGACCACAGTTAGTGAGGATCCACAACCTCTCCTCCTCCACCATAACCCTCAGCACTGGCTCTCCTCAGGGATGTGTGTTGAGCCCCCTCCTGTTTACTCTGCTCACATATGATTGTGCAGCTACCCATCCAGGCTGTCACGTTGTAAAGTTTGCAGATGATACAGCGGTGGTGGGATGCATCACAAACAATGATGAGTCCAGCTACAGGCAGGAGGTGGAACACCTGGAGAGCTGGTGCAGAGAGAATAACCTTCACATCAATGTGAAGAAGACAAAGGAGATGATTGTGGACTTCAGAAGGAACAAAAACACCTACACCCCCCTGAACATAAGAGGATCTGCGGTGGAAGTGGTCTCCAGCTACAAGTACTTGGGTGTACACATGAATGACAACCTCAGCTGGAGCAACAACACCACCAGCCTGATCAAGAAAGCTCATCAGAGACTCTACTTCCTCAGACGGCTGAGGCGAGCTGGTCTGGGAAGCTCAGTCCTCACCTCCTTCTACAGGTGTGCAGTGGAGAGCATCCTGTGCTCGAGCATCAATGTGTGGCATGGAGGCTGCACAGCTGCAGAAAGAAAAGCTTTGCAGAGAGTGGTGAAGGCTGCACAGAAATCTGTCGGAATCAGCCTCCCCACCATCACAGACATCTACACCTCCAGATGCAGGAAGAGGGCCACCTGCATCATGAAGGACCCCACCCACCCAGCACACACACTTTTTGCCCCACTCCCCTCAGGAAGGAGGTTAAGGAGCATTAAGTGTAGAACCACTAGACTGAGGAACAGCTTCTACCCTGAGGCTGTTAGACTCATGAATCTCTAACTAGAATAATCACTGTGAAAAACCATATCATGTTGCTGCTGATCTGTTTCATGTTGCTGCTGATCTGTTTCAATGTTGATGTGTTCATGCGTGCACATCTGCTCACAGACTCATGTTCATGTTTGTGCTGATGTTCAATGTTTTATGTTATGAGTGCTTAGTGTATATTTAGTTGATGTTTTTCTTAGTTCATATCTTAGATGTTATTACTGTTTTTCTTATACATTTTATTGTTGGATGTAACTGGGACCCTGTGTACATAATTTCGTTCCACCACATGTACCACATGAGGTGCGAATGACAATAAAGAAACTCTGACTCTGACTCTGACTCTGACTCTGGTCCACTTCTGGAGCTAATCCACTTCAAGATGGTTGCCGCAGACACCTACATGAGTGGCTTTAGTTTGGATAGTTTTACAGATATTGTGCTAAAATTTAGTGTGCTTGTAGCTGAGAGTCATTCACAACACTCACTGTGAGCATCTGGCCACATCTGGCACGAGGATGCATGTTAAAGTCTAAACCCTTATTGAACTTCCTTTCCATCGCAGGTGAACTCTGAGTTTTACACCGGTTGGCTGGACCACTGGGGGTCCCGTCACGCCGTCGTGCCCTCTGTTTTAGTGGCCAAGTCGCTCAACACGATCCTGTCCCTGGGAGCAAACATCAACCTGTGAGTCTGCAGACAAGAACACATGCTGCCCTGCAGACCGTCACCATCATGCTAACTTGTCCCAAGGGGTCCTGTGGAAAGGTTATGAAGAGCAAATATCTTACCTGTTGGAGGTAGCTTTTGGAACAGCCTCAGTTTGCAGAAACTGGATTGATTCTGCTGGATTTGATGTTCCTGATGGAAGAGCCTCAGCCTCAGCTAACTGCTGCTGCTGTGTGATGCAGTGATGGAGTTTACAGAATGTCTGCATTAAGAGCCGTAAATGTAGAGATCTTAAATACGGCTCTTAAATGGCTAGACTAGCCGTTATCTCATCAGTCCAGTCAGAATCAAACCGTCTCTACGAATAGACATGGTTCAGACTTATCTACAGCAGGTAAGACGTTAATTGTTCATAACCTTTCTACAGAATCCAGCTTCCAAACATCTGAACTCTCTCTTTAATGTGTCAGGAGTAAATACTCCAGAACATCCCTGAATGTTATTTGTTCCCAATCAGAACCTTTTGGGCTTCAAAATAGTAAAGTAGGTCATGTGGTCATAATGTTATGGCTTGTCATGTATTCAGTGTATTATATGAAGTTTAAAAAAGAGATGTAGATTCAGGCTCCGCCCCCTCTGCTCCTCACAGGTACATGTTCATCGGCGGGACAAACTTTGGATACTGGAACGGTGAGTTGACCTCAAATAAAATAAAAAAGTAAACATGGCCGCCTGACCCGGCCCGTGTGGAAACCCCACCAGGTGCCAACTCGCCGTACGCCGCTCAGCCCACGAGCTACGACTACGACGCTCCGCTGACGGAGGCGGGAGACGTCACGGAGAAATACTTCGCCATCCGAGACGTCATCAGGATGGTGGGAACACAACTTTAAATGTTTAATGTGTTTGTATCTGTTAGCAAAATATCTCATGAGCCACCTGACACTCGTTCCTCAACAGCTGATTAACCTTTGAAGTCAACTAGAGTGAAGATGGCCGCTGCAGCTAATGAACAGAAAAAGCTACAAGTCGTCCATTTTGGCAGATTTAGAGCTCAGCTCTGGTGTGGTAGTAGCTGAGAGTCGTCCTCTTCACGGACTCTGAGGGCTGACGCACCACGTCAGATCTGACTTCAAACGTAGAGTCAAACAAAAAGATGTTTCACTCTGCATTAACGTTTGTGTGTTTTTTACAAACAGTACAGTGAAGTACCGGAGGGCCCGGTTCCGCCGTCAACCCCGAAGTTTGCGTACGGAGCCGTGAAGATGCAGAAGGTGAGAACATGACCTCATCTGTCGGGGGGAGCACCCGACGCTGCACGTTCAACACAGAAACGTCATTTCTTGGTTCCCCTGCAGCTGCAGAGCGTGTTGGACGCCGTGGACTCCCTGTCCTTTTCCGGTCCCGTTAAAAGCTTGTTTCCTCTGACCTTCGTGGAGCTAAACCAGGTACGCTTCGCTCCCGTGCGCCGTTTCAGTTTGGTAAGAATGTTGCTGGTGACCTTTTCTGTCCTCCAGGCGTTTGGCTTCGTGCTCTACAGGACGACGCTGCCCGTCACGTGCAGCAAGCCCACCCCTCTGTCCTCGCCGCTGAACGGCGTCCACGACAGAGCCTACGTGTCCGTGGACAAGGTGAGTCCGGGTCGAACGTCTGACGAGGACGAGTCGTCCACACTGCGTCTTTGTTCAGCCGTCCTCTAGCTGCAGGTCCAGCTGTTTAACCTTGTCCCTAAGTACAGTAGTCCCTCGTTTATCACAGGGGGATCCGTACCCTGAAGCCCCACGATAAGTGAAAAACTGCGAAGTAGGAATAGTAGTACAAGTAGTAAGTAGTTTATTTTAGTATTTATATACTGTCTTTATATAATAAGGTGTTTTAAACCCTTCCCACACTCTTGCAATATTCTAAACAATGTTTCTAAACTATAAATGCTCTAAAAGAGCACAGAATGTCATGATTTCAGTTCCTTCCTCTGCTACACTTTTGGCCACGCCCACTTCTCCGCTCTGCACGGAGATCAGCTGATCAGCTGATCAGCTGCGGCTCGTCCATCAGTCAGCCAGTTGTGTGTCATGTCCAATCTTATTTTGAAAAACCGCGACAGAGCGAGTCCGTGAAAAACGAACCACGAAGTGGCGAGGGACTACTGTACTTGAAATAAAGAACGGCCCGCCATCTTGGACGTTTGAAACGAGGATCGTTTTGTGACGTCGCTGCCGCCGTTCTGCTCGACCCTTCTACAACAGACGTCATGTGATGAGTCAGCGTGTGTTGGAAATGACTCTCAGCTACTACCACGCTACATTTTAGCTCGGCGCCTGTGAACTTCACTGAGCTGTAGCCGCTTTGTATTAGCACACGTCTCTTAGCGTTGGCAGCCATCTTGAAATTGTTCAGATGTAGATGACAGAGGTGGCGACTGTGGAGCAGTGGCTGTCTCAGGATTATTTACGCCGTAAATGTGATAAATAAATAAATAAATAAACAAGGGCAGCTGCTCTTCATCTCCTCACTGTTCGGAGCTCTGATGGTTTTCTTCTTGTGTCTCCTTCAGTCGGCTGTGGGGATCCTGGAGCGGGACAGGGCCCTGACGGTCAACGTGACGGGACCTGCTGGCAGCCAGCTGGACGTTCTGGTGGAGAACACGGGCCGGATCAACTACGGCAAAAACGTCAACGACTTCAAGGTTGGATTTACAGCTTGAAGTTTGTTCTCCATCAGTCGGAGGTTTGGAATCATTTAGAGGATTTGTTGTTGTTTGTTTGTCTTCTCTTCTCAGGGTTTGGTGTCCAACCTGACTCTGGGGGGCGTCCCCCTGTCCGGATGGACGATGTTCAGTCTCAGCATCGATGACGCCGTCCGTCAGGGCCTGCTGGGACACCAAGCACAGGCAGCCCCCCCTCCGCCGGCTGCTCCGTCTCCTCCAACCTTCTACAGGGGCAGCTTCGTGATCCCTGACGGCATCCCTGACCTCCCTCAGGACTCCTACATCCAGCTGTCCAGCTGGACCAAGGCACGTGACGCGCACGAGAGACGGACCCCCTTCAGGAGGTCTTTCAGTCTTTACAGAGAAACCATGCTGGGAGAAAACGAGACAAAACGACCAGCGTTAGCCACCATGATGTTTTTGCGGTCACTCCTAATTAAAGTGACGCTTCAGATCATATGAAGTTTGTTCAAAGGGTTTCATCGATTATTGTCTGGACAGCTGAGGTTTTTTTAATAAACGGAGTTCAAATCTGAGCTGATGTCTTCAAACACCTTCAGTGTGTAAATTATGAAATGTTGCGGATCGTTCCGTTCAGCTTTTAATCTGAGTTTTCTTCAGCGGTGGCTTTAAGGATCAGTCAACGATTTAAGACGTCAATAAAAGCATCAGACGTGTGGATAACTTTAATAAACACGATAATAACTGTTCATAATTTTCACAGAGCCACATTTTAAAGTATAATCTGATATCAAAGTTTGCACAAGCTATTTTTCTAACAGTAAATATAGCTTTCAGCACAAATGCTCTTTGGAACAGTTTAGTTTATAAAGTAACTTTATTTTGGGAGCTTGAAATATTTCAAGTCCGAAGATGAGAAGATGAAAGTCTATAGATATGAATAAGTTTATCTTTTTAGTATAATCCCACTCTGTTATTGTTACAGGGTTTTAAAGGATTTATTCATCATTTTTCTCCATCATTTGTCCTTCTGCTTGTTTTTTATTTACTAAATAGACTGACGTGCATGTTTCTGTTTGTAGGGGCAGATCTGGATTAACGGCTTTAATTTGGGCCGGTACTGGCCCGCTCGAGGCCCTCAGGTGACCCTTTTTGTCCCCGCCACCATACTCAGCACCACCACGCCCAACAACGTGACCATCCTGGAGCTGGAAGGGGCCCCGTGTGGCCCCCAGCCGTGCGTCGTGGAATTCACGGACACCCCGGTTCTGAACGCCACGGTCCACTCCAAGTCCAAACGCCACCGACGGCTGTTTGTTAAAGAGGATTTACTGTGATAAGAAGAGAGACGCTCTGCTGCTCTAAACCAACCCCCATTTGCACTTTACTCTTTAATCAGCACTTGCTCTCTAAACTGTTGGGTAATAAAGAATTAATTTAGGGAATATCCCAGTTTACCTTCAGTTCCACTGAAACTTGTTTGTTCTACCTCACTGGTTCTGTGTGACATGTTTTCTTCTCGTCTCTTAAAGAGATCGCTGTCAGTAAAAGTTTTTATATCGCATTGTGTTTTATTGAACTCCATCCAAATTTTAAATTTACTCGCTTCTTCCTTTTCAGGTCGCGGGGCGTCACTGGTGCCCATGATTATTGAACTCTTATCAGGGAAATCCTATAACTGGAGAAGTGTTGAGCCTGGAGCTTTTGGTGATTCAGAAAAGTTTGCAAGCTCTGAATCTGCTTTATGTCTGTCACATGTGCCTTTTAATACACAATAAAAGTATTTTACCAGCAGCTGATAATGTTTTATTATTTTGTAAGTTTGTTCATCATTATGCAGACAGACGTGCGGACAGTATCAGATTTTTATTTCGGAAAACAAGCTCTACTTTAGTTGTTTTTCCAACTTCCAAAGTCCCGAACTCAACATGCCCCCAGATGATCAATCTTTCTGGCTCAATATATTTAAATAAACTTGGATTTATTTATTTTTTCCCTCTGCATAAAGTCCAGAGAAACCTTTTGTTCCAGGTCTCTCTTGTAAATGAGTCCACAAGGCTCAATGGGATTAACCTGTATAAATAAAGGTTGAATGAATTGTTTTCATGCCATTTAAATTAATTAAACTGGTAATTGCCCTCTGTATTACTTTCCTTATGTGACGATAAATTACTTATAATGTGCAAAGAAAATAATAATAATGTGCAAATTTTCTGTAGACTCCCCATTTGCAGATTTATTTATTATTTGTTCCCTCTCAGTCAAGCAGACAGTGGTCAAGTTCATTTAAAAAAAAAAAAAAAAAACCAAAGGGATGCTTTTTTCAAATAGGAAGTTGGTCCCAGCAGTTCTTCCCCCGATTTTATCCTCAAATGGTGTCCCCATTGAGTTTGTTGATTCCTATAAATATTTGGGTATCTTGGTCGACTCACATCTTTCTTTTAAGCTCCATGTGGAAAACTTGGTAAAGAAACTGAAAGTTAAACTGGGTTTCTTTTTCAGAAACAAATCCTGTCTAACCCTGAATGCTAGAAAACTCCTTGTATCTGTGACTTTCCTTCCCTCCATTGATTACGGTGACATTATTTACATGAACGCTCCTACAAGAACCCTGCAGAT